ATGCTCAGGGACAGAGTTAAAAAATAAATTGCAACCACTGTTTCCTGACATCATCGGCTTTCGGAAGCCCAAACAAAGACGTTTGGGCCCAGAGGTGAAAAAAACTGCGTTTCAGGTGGTCGCACACCGGACGAGAAGCGTAGTGTCGCGTCGTGCCACGTCTTTAAAATTCAAATACATTATTTTCTATGAGTGTAGGCACGCCGGCGGTGCCGTTCAGCGTCTGTCCGCGGTTTTTTTAAAAAGGAAATATCTCCCTTTGGAGTGGACTTTGAGATTTGTAACTTTCTAGATCTTTTTAATGCCCAAACATACACACTACACACTGGCTAAAATTAAAAAAGTGAAAAAGCATAATAGGACCCCTTTAAGAAAATATTTCCCATTCTTTGTTATCAACATCAAGAAGTGCTTTAAACATTACATTACACCAAATTGAGGTTCTTGAGGTGATGAAAAGCTAATTAATTAAATCATAAAAATGTGAAATTAATTGTGTGGCCTGTATAATTATAGTCACCTGACTAGTGGATACTTAATTTTTGGAATCTGCAGTTTACATGTAATCAGTTACTACCCAGTACTAATTGTCACCAAATCTTGGAATCAATCAAATGTGAACTTGTTTTCTTTCAGTTAGCTAAGGTTTTGTATTTCTTTTTGAAACTGACTGGCCATCTGAGCTTATTCACCTCAGTTTTTGATTAAAAAAAAAGCATTATTTCTTGGTAATTTTGCCAGTGTTTGCTCAAAAATGTAAGTGCATTAGCTCAAACCTGTTCTAATTAAAGCAAAACAAGTTGTTAAAAAGATTGAATACAATATTTGGTAATAATATAGTATAACGAGAAGATAAACATTTCTAAGGAATTCTTTTGTAAGCCGGTCATTTTTGAAGAAGACCACATGTGTAACAAGGTCAGGGGAAAAATAACACAAAAGTACAAAAATTTACAACAAATTTTTGTTGTTATACCATCTCTGTGAGCAAAGTCAGTACATTTTAGTCCAATTCGATAACATTGCCTAGGAATTTCAGGAAAAAGAAAATCCTCTATGGGTTAAAATGACCAGAACACACAATGAGTTAAGAATGGTAAATGTTTTGCATTCACATCAAGATTTGCCTTTATCAATGAATGTACAGAATATCAGATGCGGTCATTAGTAGAACATGTTATTTAGTTCATCAGACAGAAGATGAAACACGTTGGATTTTTTCATTCTCTTGGGTTTTGACCGTATGAGCTCAGATTTGGACCATTCTGATCTGGACTGAAGTCGGGGTTTGCCCATATGCCAAGCTGAGTACACAATAACTTTGCACAATTACTTTTGAAATGAATACAGAATTTCTAATAAAGCATAAAACACCAGTTTATTAGACCCCCTTCATCGTACCAGCATCAGCCGGTTTTACTGAAAGCCTACAAAGGAGTTTCAGTTTCTGACTTTAGCAACATCTGTGGCCTAAATCCTTCTCATAGTACTGTTTATTATCTTTTTATTTGTATGATAATTACTTTGACATCTGAAATGATCAGTATAGGTACATTAGAACATTTATATGTTGTCTTTATTATTTGTTTTTGCTGCAAATGAAT